AACACGTGACTTCTAACGCATAGACTAACAATATGACAAAATATGTAGCAGTTACAGCGGTAATTGTTAAGAGTCCAGGATGAAAGACAACTGAAGTGTTACTATAAAATCGAGTGTGGACATTTGCATTATTGGAAATTATGTAATTGGGATATTTGGAATATACACTATATACTCATTACATTACAGAAAGTAAATACTTTTTAAAACAGTTGACACTTGTTTATACTCCTTCGATGTGGTGATGTTGGCGATACACGAATTATGGGGAAATACCGATATACGGAGTTATGTCCCAAATCAGCTATCAGATATGAAGTGGTTTCGATATGCAATCGCCAGGTCAAACGATGTCATAAAATTCTGTATTTAATCGTTCGTTTGTGTATTTATCAGGAAAAACCGCGGGAAAAGAGACAATAAAGAAAAGCTGTGGAAATGGAGAAAATCAGGAAAAACCGCGGGAAAAGAGACAATAAAGAAAAGCCGTGGGAATGGAGAAAATCAGAAAAAAACCGTGGGAATGGAGAAAATCAAGAAAAGCCGTGGGTAACGGAGATAATAAAGAAAAGTCGTGGGTAACGGAGAAAATCAGGAAAAACAGTGGGAACGGAGGCAATAAGAAAAAAGCTGTAGAAAAGGAGGAAATCAGGAAAAGTCGTGGTAATGGAGAAAATCAGGAAAAGCCGTGGGAACGGAGGCAATCAGAAAAAGCCGTGGGAATGGGGAAAATCAGGAAAAGTCGTGGGAATGGGGAAAATCAGGAAAAGTCGTGGGAATGGAGAAAATAAGAAAAAGCCGTGGGGAAAGGAGGAAATCAGGAAAAGCCGTGGGAACGGAGGCAATCAGGAAAAGCCGTGGGAATGGAGGAAATCAGGAAAAGGCGTGGGAATGGGGAAAATCAGGAAAAACAGTGGGAACGGAGGCAATAAGAAAAAGCCGTGGGAAAGGAGGAAATCAGGAAAAGCCGTGGGAACGGAGGCAATCAGGAAAAGCCGTGGGAATGGGGAAAATCAGGAAAAACAGTGGGAACGGAGGCAATAAGAAAAAGCTGTGGGAAAGGAGGAAATAAGGAAAAGCCGTGGGAATGGAGAAAATCAGGAAAAGTCGTGGGTAACGGAGAAAATCAGGAAAAGTCGTGGGTAACGGAGAAAATCAGGGAAAGTCGTAGGTAACGGAGAAAATCAGGAAAAGTCGTGGGAATGGAGGCAATCAGGAAAAACAGTGGGAACGGAGGCAATAAGAAAAAGCTGTGGGAAAGGAGGAAATCAGGAAAAGTCGTGGGTAACGGAGAAAATCAGGAAAAGTCGTGGGAACGGAGGCAATCAGGAAAAGCCGTGGGAATGGGGAAAATCAGGAAAAACAGTGGGAACGGAGGTAATAAGAAAAAGCCGTGGGAATGGAGGCAATAAGAAAAAGCTGTGGGAAAGGAGGAAATAAGGAAAAGCCGTGGGAATGGAGAAAATCAGGAAAAGTCGTGGGTAACGGAGAAAATCAGGAAAAGTCGTGGGTAACGGAGAAAATCAGGAAAAGTCGTGGGAATGGAGGCAATCAGGAAAAACAGTGGGAACGGAGGCAATAAGAAAAAGCTGTAGGAAACGAGGAAATAAGGAAAAGTCGTGGGTAACGGAGAAAATCAGGAAAAGTCGTGGGTAATGGAGAAAATCAGGAAAAACAGTGCAGTGAGAACGGAGGCAATAAGGAAACGCCGGGCATGTTAAACGTTGCATTGTCTGAAGTCGATATTTATATACGATATTTATAATTAACATGTATTACAGAATGACAGTGCTTCTACCAATAGAGAAGAAGTGTTCCATTCATATGGTTTTGAGAAGTGATAGGTTATCATCATTCTGTTTCATTATCTAGTCATTATTTCATTCTGTACCTTTGACAGGAAATCATTACGTACAAAAGACTCATGCGTTATATAACAGGTTTGCTTGCATTTTTCTCCGACATTTTTTTGAGCTTATGGTATAGAAATAGGGAAACTTCTTCATTTTTCTAATACTGGAATCAGTAATCGATAATGACTGATCTTTATTTAGTTACATTTCAATTTTTCAAATGGGATGTTAACCAATATTGATCGTTTTCATCATTCACAACATGCAGTAGAAATTGGTGATAACTCTGATATTGATTAATAACGGGAAAATACCTTATTCAGTGCAGTGGAATTAAGTTTATATCTACTCATCCAGACATTTATATTTAAGTAAATATATGATCCTTTTTAACACTTTTGGTAGAAGTCGTTTGTGATCTATGCTGTTACCATGACTATGTGTATATCATCTGAGCCATGACGACATCTAACAACAAAGTTTGGAACTATTACTTTCATTCATATATAATAATCCATTAAATATATCAAATTTGACCAATCAGAACGCTACGTGTTCATTACTGCAATAGTCAATATTCCCATTATGTTGTTAATGATATCTACATTTTTTATTGGCTATGCTCATTTTAGAGACGGAACGGAGATATTCATAAAAGAAATACTTATTCCTAAGTTTATTTGCCTCACTTACCTTTTCATACATTATATTTTGCTATTACAAAGCCATTTCAATGATTTTTAATCTCTCTCCACTTCGACTTTAAAATTCATTTTAGGTCGCCATTGGCAGTTATACTAAAAACATCCTTACTGACCTAGACAAAATAGAATTAATATAATTATATATCAATACATTGATAACATATTTATTATTTTTGCAAGAGTGTTTAACAATTTTTCAGTAATTAATTGATAATTTTAGAATATTTTTTTATAGAAGATGCCTGCCAACAATGTTATCACCATTGTTCGACTACACAGCTCTGTTGCGTGGAGGCCGGCTCTGCAAGAGCGCCACTGTCCTTACACACCACTGGATATGATGGTGTTTGGTTCAATCAACCGATCTTGGCGCGTACACCTGGCCGACGCTCATAAGATGGCACCATCATCATTCCACAGTGTTACGATTCTCCCTTGGACTCGTCTGTAGGTTTTCATCTGGTGGCGCTGAAAGGGCATTCTTGGGTACAAGCCGGGTGGTCACCAGGGAGCATTCCTTCCTAAGGTGCGGGACTAGCATGAAGAACGGCAAGTTGGCGCGTCCAGCTTAGCGGTTCATTAGGTGATGTCATCCTGATAAACACAATGGTAAATGCCGTGTAATAAACATAATTTACAATCGTATAGTAATCAGTAACCAATTAATAAATAGACGAAATTGTAAGAAAATGAAAAACCAAGTAAAAAATAAATAAAAAAACTCGCCTTACACGTTAAGTACTGTATACTTACATTCGACATCGTTGTTCGTTTTCACAGACTGACGGTGCACACCAGTTCATTGGAGTCCATATCCTGTCTCAACCCAGATTGTCGAGCTTACGAAGGAGTGTCTGAGCCTATCATCATCATCATCATCATCATCATCATCATCATCATCATCATCATCATCATCATCATCATCATCATCATCATCAATGACACCAGACATTAATTAGGTATTTATAATGATACAGACATTAATTAGGTATATGTAATGATACCAGACATTAATTTGGTATATATATGATACCAGACATTAACTAGGTATATATAATGATACAGACATTAATTAGGTATATATAATGATAAAGACATTAATTAGGTATATATAATGATACCAGACGTTAATAAGGTATATATAATGATACCAGACGTTAATTAGGTATATATAATGATACTGGACATTAATTACGTATATATAATGATACCAGACATTAATTAGGTATATAATGATACCAGACATTAATTAGGTATATGTAATGATACCAGACATTAATTAGGTATATATAATGATACCAGACATTAATTAGGTATATATATATAATGATACCAGACATATAATTAGGTATATATAATGATACCAGACATTAATTAGGTATATATAATACCAGACATTAATAACATTAATATATATATATATAATGATACCAGACATTAGTTAGGTATATGTATATGTAATGATACCAGACATTAATTAGGTATATGTAATGATACCAGACATTAATTAGGTATATGTAATGATACCAGACATTAATTAGGTATATATAATGATACCAGACATTCATTAGATATATATAATGATACCAGACATTAATTGACAGTGCAAGGTTACGGTATTTAGCTTAACCTTGAAACTTGTGTACTTAATATGTTCTTTATTACTTTACGTTTTTCATGGTTTTTTTCATGACTGAAGGTTTAATAAGATGTTTATCATAACTTTTTTCTCTCATTCATGTCTTGTTTTCTTGTATATCTTTAAAATCAAACTTTCTATTTATACGTTATCTCCTCCTCCTTGCCTACGATGACGTCCATCCTGACCCAGGCCCTCTTGACCAAATTAAGATATATTTATCTTTCATTTTAACATTTTGTAGCCGACGAAATATCACAATTGAAAAACTGACATCAGATGATATGGTGCAGCCTACCTTGATATATCTGTAGCGGATGCTGAATTATTCATATGTGGTTATTTGTACCGCAAGGATCGGGGGATCTCGGGAGGGGGATGATCGTTTACACATCTAGTCACTTGTGCACACGTCGTAGAGCTGACTTAAAATTTCGAGTGGGTGAAGTTATTTTGGACGGTGATCCAGACTTCATATATGTATTTTAACTGTTGTACAAAAATTGTCACCACTGCGGGTTCTGTGTGAATATAGAATGGAAAGTGTTGTCATATTAATACAATCGTAATCCACAACAGATTGACCTCTAAAACGTACAAGCGGATAATGAGACTAGGTGCTCCCTTCTGCCTCATCATTGTTTAATGTAAAGAATGCCATACTTTCAAATGAGAGATAAGTTCAAAATATCCAGGATACGTAATTAAAGATAGCTTAATGTTATGAAAACAAATGATTTTTATCACGGGTTTTAAAATTTCTTTGTCAAAGCCATTGAACGTATATCTTCATGTGATTTAATAATGGGTTTGGCCAACAATGTCAGCACAATAGACAGGATAGTTTCTTGTTTTAACAATACAACATTCCTTGTGAAGGTTTTTTTGCTAAGTCTGTATATGGGAGTTTACATTGATAACATTTATCATTCATTCATCAAGAAACCAATAATGTTATCTATATTTCAATCAATCTGGATAGTTTAAATAAGGTGTACCATGACGGTCAATGATTCCCGAAAGTTATGTTGACTATTTCAAAGTAGAATTCGAAGAATGCGGAAATCAATACAGTGCACAATCCTTTAACAGGCGTTATAGCGAAAACGCATGTGTTATGTCCCTCCATTGAATATCGTGTGCCGGAGAAGAGGAAGTAATTCTTGTTAATATAAATTGTGAAATCTTAATGTAAAATAATATTATTTTTTAATGTTATGTGTGTCTTAAAGGAGAAAAAAATCAAATATTGAAACTTTTACACATCTTCGGATAAAGATAGGAAACCTTAGTGCTTTCAGACGGTAAAATATAAATAGCAAGTTCCAAATTGAACTAAAAACACATGATCGAATGCTTGTAACTTCGTTGTTGTGCTTAATACTTCGTGAAATAGGGTCGATCGTTCAAAATCAGACAATGAGGGTGTGATGAATTTGGAATTGTTGAACAAAATAAAAAACAAAGATTATATCTTCATTTCAAAACAGCTTCCTGTCTACGATATATTCGTTTGTTCTTTATATATTTTTTTCAATGATTGTACAAAAGACATACAAATGAATAGCACTTTTTTATGATTTAGAGTGAGATATAGTATAGCCAAACAATGAATTAATTCATTCGAATAATAGCACGGTTTATAAATTGATGTATATATATATATATGAAGCCCTCTCGGATAAACTATCGTTTGTATCAACGGGACTGTATTTAAGTACACATGTACCACAGGGTATTGTATCATGGCGCTTGCCAGATTTCAAACCTTACCAACATTTCACCATTCCCTTGCATTTCTTTGGTTTATGGACAGCTAATAACACAAGACCAGTCAGAAAATGTTCGTGACGCTTCCACAAATATGCTCTCTAACTTTCTGTAGATCATCTGCTGTAGGTATTGAATATTAAAAACTCTTTCGACTTTCATTTTAATCTCATATTTTTTCAGTATACATAGGAGTAGCTGAAGAGACCTGTCGACTACATACGATTCACTAGTCATTGGACTGATGAAGGTGCTAGAGACGAGTCATCAAAAGTCATTTTTGTCTAACTCGTTGGTTCTGATACACGAAATTCTATCTATATACATATATACTTACCAACCTGCTGTAAATGGATGCTTCATAAATAACACTATTACAATAATCACAATAATAATGAATTATATCCCCACCCTGATCAACATTTTATTCCACCCTAGGTTTACATTAAGATCGATGGAGAATGTATCACCACATCCCTACCGTGCATAAAACTCCTTTTCCGCCTGGGTATCAAAGGGGACTGTGTTATGCCTCTTACTTTCCCTAATATGACATCCCTACAGGACATAATTATCGCAGGAGAAAGTGTCATATTATTACTTTCCGCGATGTTATATCCTAGCCTAACATTAGTATCACACAGCGGCATAATATTACCTCCCCGTTATGCCATCTGTACATGCATAGTGAACACATGGGACTCACCTTAACGATCGAAAGATTTGTATATAAAAAATGTGATTTTTTTTTCTTTTTTGACCAAAATATAATTACAATCCAATTAATCCTGACACCGTCTTTTCTCTAAAACTACACACACACAAGAAAACCACCACCAAAATAATAAAAATAATCCACGAAATAGCCCGTTTATCTGACCATACAATAATACAGTTTAGGCATTAAGAGTACAACATAACATTTGATCATGACTAAATATGGTTTATTAAGTTTCTCCGCCCACGTTCTCTAATGATTGAATCGGGCTTGCATTTGTTACCACACTGAAACCTTTTATTGTGAAATATGCTATCACACAATAATTGATGTGATCTTTCATTCCCAGGTAATTATATCACAAACTGACTCATTGTTCCTATTGTTGATATTTGTTGATATCTACCTTTGCAAAATCACATTTGTAAAATGTAGGTCAGATTAATGCGGAGTAAAATAGAGGTGTTTACAACCTTCCTGGTACACCTTCCTTGTTAAACGTGACACCATGCAGGTGACCGAGATTAACGTATTAGTTATGATATCCACACGATTCGGTATATATAACTATCGAATATTTGTTGCAATTTATAAGATAAAATGCATTGCTTTTTAGATATTGAATTCATGTCTTTATGTCACATCGACTTATGCCGTATTCAAAATATTTCCTTATTTCAGTAGACAAAGACATGACGTTTCAGATTGGAGACGTCCTGATTTGTTTTGCGCCTTTTTCGATTAGCATTGCTGAAAGGTAAGACACATACACTTCTGTTTATGAGAGTTTTATCAGATTTTGCGAAACTTATTTTAGATTCGAAGTATTTAAATCCGCATTTTTTGACCAATCGCTTGAGTCAACCAGAGAAATTCTACATTCTAAAAAAGTCTACACGCTGCATGCATGATTTGAACAATTTCTTGTCAAGTTTCATTTTAACTTTCATTTTGAAAACGATGGTAGATAAAATTATATAAAGTTTGAATAATGCTGAAGAAAGATTGGACACTTTCATCCCGGACGACCGGGTAGCTTAATAACTTCAGTTCTTTTACACTTCCGGGACAAGCAAGGTTTATACAAACAACTCCGGTACCGGAAGCAGAGACATATCTTCAACATTATCAGTGAGGTACTTTACAGACTACTCTGTCTAAAAAAGACCTGAAACTTATTCAGAAGCGAAAGTGAAATAAGTTTAGTAATCCGTGAGAGGATCCAAGCGGGACATCTTTGTCTTTGATTTAAAACTCGAGAACAATACGAGTACAGAATAGTGATGGTATTTAACATATTGCTCGCATAAATTAAATTTCGGGAGAAATAGGTTTGACATGAATAGATAACTGACACAATGTGTTAACTTTATTATTGTTCCTGTCTGAAATTTAAAAATTAAATCAACTCAAATTAAGGAAGAACAATAAATCATACCTAGAACTGGTGAGAGTAGTTAGTTTATATTTCCTTAAAATAAGGACATACAATGTACTTCCTGTCCCTTCTAAATAAAATGGGAGGAATCTCCGGGTAGCATCAATACATCTGGGATCGCTCTATCATGGATATTATGGCAGTGCTCAAGTGTGTCCTTTTGTTCAGCGGAATTAGCAGTGGGATGCACGTGGCAGGTTAGTCAATCCTTAACTTGATATTCTTAATATACTTACAATTATGCATTTCGCACATGCATATTAAGCCATAGCCTATTGGAGCTGGCAGTGCTGCAGCTGTAAAGAGTAAGATTACAGGTTCAATGCAGCTATCCTGCATGTAGGTGGTTTCCTATCCAACATATCAAGCTGATCATTTGATTGCAGATTCAGTACAATATTATTGAACTTGTATGCTAATGCTATTGCATCATCAGAAAAAAATGATCTTAGAGCACTTATCAATTTTATGATATTGAAATAACTAACTAAATATCTTTAAAACATATAATATATAACATGGCATATAATGTACATGTATGATATGTTGCTTATCACACGATCATAAGTTCTCGTTAGTCCGTCTATTAGTTCTGTTTGTGTATACATTGTTCTCATTTGAGAACCTGGCATTACACAATGTACTTGATTGGATTTACCAACAAATATATGACTGATGTCGTCGATGAAGCAGAAGCCGTTTATTCTTTCGGAACACCTGGTATTATAATTATGTTGACATCTTGATATTTTCTTGTTGTTTTTTAGTATCATTTGATTATATCTACATACGGCCTGCAGCGTTTATATACACAGTTAATTTTCGTGTCGGGTTATGGTGTTTTGAACCGAAGTGTGTATAGATACGATCGTAAGATTAATACAAACAATCAAAGTGAGTTTTAGAAATTGAAGTTACTGTATTTTGGAACATTTTCTATGGGTTGTTAACGTTAATGGAATAGAAGTTCTTATAACACAACCAGTAGCACATTGTCTTCATCAAACAAATGGCCAGTGTGGAGCGTACTAGCACTGATGTACGTCATCGAAACGTCACACTCTAATTTTTACTGGTTGTGTTAGAACTTTTATTCAGTGAAGTAACTTTATTTGATCACGTTAACATTATTGCACATGAACTTGATCGAAACAACTTGTTTAGAATTTGAATAAGTTACCGCCGTTGACACGGGAACAGCTTTTAATCACTTTCGATGTCCGTCTTGCCCAAGTTTGCTTATCGCCACGCTGTTTCAACACCTAAACCTCAAGGTACCACTGACTAGTCTTAGAAGGATGAAACAACTGTATGGTTATTTAACTAAATAGAAATTTACTTCTGAATTTGCTCTGAGAGATGCTTTTCACGAGTGTATTGTAAAATCTTCCACAAAAACATATGTGCAATCTTATTACATATTTATCAATCTTTTGATCCACTGAGGTAAATGTTTCCATGTTAGACGATAATTAGTAGTTTAATATATTTACCTTTTCCCAATATCAGACCTGAAGCCAGGAAAGTTTATGACCCGATGTGTCACACGACATGCCGACTTCATGAATATCACCTGTCCTAGTCGTCAAGTGATGTTAGCCCCAGAAATCATTGCTGGATATTCTGAAAGAAAGACTTGCGTGTTCAACGAGCAAGACTGTCTCGGAATGACTCCATCATTGGAAAAAGAGGGCAAAGCATGCTCAAAGCAGGAAACGTGTAGAATCAATTTAAGACGCATTCTGGAGACACTTAATCCATTACCAGGACAGAAGGAAATGTGCAAGGGAAAACCTCTCACATATGTTTCCATCATACTGCCTAAATGTGTTCCTAAATGTAAGTATTATTGTTATATATACATTCACATAAACATAAATATTGAACCTCGTTATCTCGAATTCGTATAACTCGATGACCCCCCTTTTACTTCGAAATATTTCGGTGATCCAGGCAAACTTCATACCACACATTCGACGTCACTTAAATGCAATATTCGGATAACTCGAAGTTTCCTCCCGGTCCCGCCGACTTCGAGTTAACGAGGTTCGACTGTATTTTTGGAATTGAATTATCAAAAAAAAAAATTTACGTTTTACATTTACGTTTCATGTGTTCATAACTTAAAACAATTATAACAATAACGTTTGTTGCAAATCAATGTCACTGATAGAACAGACATATCGATTTCGCAATCATTTTACGAACACATTTCTACATGATGTCAGATGTGTAATTACTCAAATGATCTTTTTATAGATGCCTTTCATGCAATGTGTTCTGGGACCAACGCATTACCAATTTACTCCAGAAGTGGGGTTATCGATAGTTCTTACATCCAGAAACGTAACACACAATGCATGAGGCGTTTTGGGAGTTCCGCTGACGTCATCAGGTTAACACTCACTTTCGTGCACCTCCAAGTGGGAGCTAAAAACCGACCGAAAATTGTATGGACAACTGAAAACGGAAGATTAAGAAAGAGAATATTTGAAGACTCATCGACGTTTTCCGAAACTGGGTCGAAATTTAAGATACAATGGAGTCCAAGAAACGCTGGATCGACCAAAGAAGGATTTGTTATTTCTTACAAAGGTGTGTCTTTGCTGAGTTATAAAGGTAGCAATATAAAACCTGATAAGCATTTCATCTATAGTTCAAAGTATGTGGAATTATTCAGTATAGCATTTCTCTCAGTACACAGATACCAAAATAAAGTGATTTTAATATGTTCTCAAATGCAAAAGCAATATAAATGTTTGGTTAATTTTATTTCATCTGTTTTGGTACGTAGTATTTGATCCCTGTGGTCATATCCTCGCTCTTATTCTATACATCTGTTGTCTTATATAGATGTCCATTAGGCACTCCCCACTCTCCCTCGAAGTTACAATCTTTGAAACGCTTTCATTTCCAGTAGACTCGTTACATAATATAATTTCATTTATGTAAACTGCAAACAATAAAAAAAACAACAAAAAACACACGAGAATCTATATTCTCACCCTAATTAACACTTCAAACTTCTTAAAGACATTACCCTGCTTTTAATATGATACATTAATCACTTCCATACTGGTAAAGACTAAGAATGGATATTTAAATTAAAAAAACCATTTTCATTTCAGTGGAACTTATCAAAACAAAGAGGTTCCGTCTAGCAAGTAACAAATTTTGGCAGATTCGAAAACCTGCTGTTGTGCAAGGTAAGGGATAGCTGGAAAGTTGCCTTACAGTTCGAAAGGACCCTTACATACACGTATGGTTGTCAGTTTAAAACTATGGCTATATATCGTATAACACTTATTACACCTATATCTTTCCCGAAGATCTTACATCTCAATAATATAGTCCTAATGCCGTTTCTTCTGAAAATGTCATTCTTGTTTATTGCATAGTTTTATTAATTTACTAAATATTTTGTTGTAGATGTTAGGTAATATTTTAGATAATTTTCCGTAAAAGACATGAGGTGAACAGCGCTCTCATTTTAAATTTAAAATATCCATTATCTCTGGCACCGATAAAACATATACTTTGTACGTGTAAGCTTTTAGATCACGTGATGTGATCGTGACGTTACTGAAACGAGACGACGCTACTTCTCGGCCAATCCGATGATTGGCAACTATAACGCTTTGCAGATAAATACATATTGTAGTTACGGCTGTTTAAATCTAATTTTGTGAACAAGTCATACAAATAAGAACACGATTATATGTTGGAAAGCAAAGTAAATATTTACGAATCGTATACATATTGTAGTAAATTATCTTTTAAGTCAGAATAACAGAAATTTATTTGAACTGTTACTGAAAATAAAAGTAAATTTATTGATCTCTGCATTTTAATTCCAGTCAATGAATACAAAGAAATAAATATCACAAAAACACATTGACAAACATTAATCAAAAACATTAAATAACGAATAAATCAACATACCTGAACAGCGTACACTCGATCTGAAAGCATAAATATGGATTAAGATTATTTTTATGAGCACTGATTCGTTTTGGACACTTATACGATTCAGCGTATTTAATATAACTGGAACAGGTAGATATAGTCGCCCACGTAAGTAATAGTTCCTCGTGAGTAAACCAGACCGGGCACAGCTGTAATATCGTGGTGCACTTCAGCAGGAGTGTTCCCGAAAGGTGAATATTTACACCAGGAAGTAGCTACGAAACTAGGACTTCATTGATGTTTATCATAAGTTTCGAAAGCGATCGCGTAATATCGGAATTACCTAATATTCAAATATTGCTCTTTTCGACCATACATAATCATTCAGAGATATCAAATACTGAATCACTAATGATACCGGAAAGAGAAACAAGGATATTATTCTGCAAAGGTGCGGAAGTTAGCGATCTGAAATACCAACACGTGGGATCACCATGGCAAACAAGTAATACTTCCGGTTAACTTAAATGTACGCATCAGTGTCCATCGAAGTCAAACGACGATTAGCTTTTTCTGCTCTGACAACACGTCTCCAGATTGTTCCGATCCTGATGTTATCAATTTCTTTGTTAATGCTGTTTTCGATTCTTCTGCTCAGAAACTTGATCTAAATCGCTCCTTAGAAACGACCAATCAGTGGTATCGATGTCTATTTTAAATATGTTTATAGGAATACTTATTGTAAATATGATATCTTCTTCTTTTGGTGAGTAACCGTAATTCCCTGTCGGTATCCTAATTTGTAACCAAAATCTTTCTTTTTTAAAGATCTAAAATAGTCTCAATGGAATAACTTTGATGTTATCACCGTAAATTGTTCTTCTACATTTTGTTCATTTATATCGTCATTAATGAGTTGAGAAAAATTGATGATGAAGAAAAAAATATTTTCGATATATCGTGATTATATACTGATATGAACGTCATCACAATCGAGTCGGTCGCAATATAAGGGGAATAACTCTTAGAAAAATATACGCAAATATGTTCATATAACTAATAGTGAGTGATTTTAAGGCCGGTAGTTTCGGTTTAGTAGTGCGATTACATTGTAGGGGGAGTAACTGTTAGAAAAATGTGCACACATATTTGTAGAGCCACTATTGCCACAGTGTGTATTTACATATCTAATAGCCAATTTGGTGTTCTTTATGTGACGCCCAGACTGGTGATGGCTTATATAAGTGAGCCAGTTGGTCTCGGTTTCCTGTTAAAAGCTGTATCTTCAGTGTACTTTCGATAAGAACTTTGTATTTTTTTCTGTATACTTGCTACTATATTGAAAACGGCTTCATCAGTAACGCAAACAGAGGTCATTCATAGTAAGGTACTGTGGGAAAATATAAATCACAGCAATATTTTATAAAGTTTCTAATCTTTCTTTTCATGTGTAATGCATATTTACCTATTTCCATTGAATCATATCAGAACATTTCAGTTATAGCTATCGCTTGTTTTCTGCCGTGTTTTAGAAGTGTGTTATGTTTCATCATACCCTAATATTTTATACTCTGAGTCGAGATTGTGTCCTTTTTCGTCGGTACTGCAAGTGTTCTTGTTTTAGTTTTGTTTATTTGTTTATTCGTTTATTTTGTTTGTTTGTTTTTTGCTTTGTTTTTTGTTTTTTTAGGAAAGAGGTCTTATAAACCTTGTAAAAATCTTATAAATCTTGTATACACCTACTGTATCTATGATTTATAATTAATCTTCTTTCAGCGACACTGGGTAATGCTATGGCATATAACAAACCAAACACCTATACGATGACCTGTCCTCCTGGTAAAGTTATTTACTCCCCGGATATAAACGTCACCAGTAGCAGATTCCCCGGATGTACGGGACTTTCTCCGTACCTTATTGTGCAGCGAAACGAATGTTACTGGCGCAGAAATTGTACAGTGAATTGGAATGGACCAGCCCTTATAACAATGACGTCATCTCAACGCTGTTTTGGTCGCAGTGGTGATAATTTGGAAATCGGAGACTACAAATGTGTAAAGGAAGGTGAGAACATTTTCGCAGTTAAATCTTTGTACTCGCTAACATTTGAAAGGAAATTCATAACCGTTGGTTTTATATTGATGAATTTGTTTATTTTCCCCTTCAAGGTAAAAGTGAAATATCAAAATAAATATTCTCTCGTTTTATAAACCGAGTGTGTAGTTTGACCGTAAGTTATATTCATATAGAAAAGAATACTGAGAAAATATTGAACGAGAACATCTTAATGTTTCACGATAGAAAAGTATGGGAGAAATAGAATCAATCACCATTGCTTGATTCAGTTGTTACACAAATATCAGGATTGCAATTTTAATATTTAGCTCTTGGCAAAGTCTCATGCCAAAATTTGAAATGAAGATTAAAATTTAGATGCGAAATTAACATTAATTTCCCCTTTAATTCAGACATTAAGTATTTTGGAAATTCTTCTTTTTAGGTAATATTGTAAATATTTGTGACACCGTGTCATCAAAATTAAAATCATCGGGTATGATTCGTAGTCATTCCCAGTATCCATGGCACTATCCAAGACAGAACAGAAAATGTCGACTACGGATTAAAGTAAGTATCAAAAGGTCATCATCTGGCATCGTTAACTTTGTTATGTAATGGAAAGATTGGTTGTTTATTGCTGCCACAATGAAGATACTTAGCAGGAAAAATGATTGCTATCTATGTTGAGTAGAACATATAAGTGTTTTAATGACTTCTAGTTTCTCGGCCATTTCTATATCAATATACAAGAAAGGAAATGTTTTTTTTTTGACATTTTTCCTTTTACTGTCAAGAATATTTCCACCATGGAATTCCTAAAGAATCAGTTGTATGTATTTTGCTTCCGAGCGTTACACGATAGAAAACGTAACGTGAACCTAGACATTCTCCAAGGTTTTGATACGCTCTGTAATATAGATTCTGTGTTATTTCGCTCAGCTTTTACAGTGATGCATTCGAGTATTTTATGCACGAGAGCAATGTTGATATAACCAATCTATTTTCAATGTTGGAGATGTTATGTTCATAGTACTTCACGGTATTCTTATGTTTGGATCGATGGCACGTGTTTGATGTTTAATTTCAATCTGTCAGAGTTACTTCCCTTCCAGTGTAGGTCGGAAACGGGCAGTTCACGGAACTGGAATGATTAATTCCATGACTCATTTTTACGCAACTCAACATTTACGTGGAATAATTTACACGATTTCATTAAAATGTTCCATAAAAAACTAGCGGAAATATAGAAAAGAACTGCAGTAGACAGATAGAACCAAGTCACGGCGTATGCTGTCAGTTCATTATGTCTACAAAGACTTATGTATCTTCAATCAGAGATAGATATACGATCAATAACAATTATATATCTTAGAGTTATTAGGATCACAATACAAAAGTTGATCATCTACATCTAATGCACGTAGAATACTTATCAAAGGCAGGCCTTACACATAATTCGAGAGATGATTCCTTTCTGTAGTCTTGGCATACAGCTAGGTTGTTAATGATACCGTGCAGGAGTCTGCCAACTTTGTGGAACACGTGAAAGCCACATTGATGTCAAGGTTGGCCTTAGATTCTGTAGAGATAATAATGTCGGTGAATAGCCTCTAATGTTGGGAAATTTCAGTGCTTGGTACTTCAGTGTGTTGCGAGTTTGTTGCCTAGGGTATGTATGGATGAAGAGCTGTTGTTGTTTCTTGGTCGATGAGAATTGATCGAACCTAAAGACATTATTCACTTTTTTCTATGGGACAAGGTGATTGGATAGTGTCTGTTCGCGTTGATGTAAATTGCTGATAGTTTATATTTTTAATTTAATAATAAATTCTAGCCATGAATTACAATATGTTTCAAGGGAATATCGTTACAGCATATTATGAATACTCCTTGGTAAGTCGAGGTCTAAATCGGTATAAAAAGCTTTAGAGTGTACCAACATGTTCATACGACGAATGATAAATGTAATAAAATAAACATCAATATCTACAAAACAAAGCAAAATAAATCATCAAAGTTATTTGAAATATCTCAGATATCTAAGGTGATTTTATGACTAGGATAAGATATCAAGCACACTGGACCAAAACAAATATATACCACTGATTATGTCGCACGTTTGACCTTTACTCCAATAACAATTCTGTCTTTTTTCCACAGATAACGAAAGGTACACTACTGAGACTTCGAGTAGACGACGTGGATATTGACGAGGAAGCAGATACTTTTATCATCAAACACATCAGGAGAGGGCGGAAAGTGACCGTCATATCGAACGGTAATGGTAGAAACATACTCAAAACTTTACAAGGAGGGAGAGTGGATATTACTATGTCAGTCAAACGACATACCAAATCCGGCACTGGATTCATACTACACTATAAACGTAAGATTTTTGTGGTGCATGATGTATTCGTTTTAGCTGTTGTATCATCATGTACTTAAAACTGAAATAATATGATTTATACAATATAATATATACTTTGATTACCGTTGTATGTCAAGTTAATTGTTTCAGAATATTTTTGTCTGGAAAACAGAAACAGAAAAAAGCATTAAATCTAAAATAGAAATTTAATGACGCACATGGTGTTGATATATCATTCAAATGGCGTATAATTGTTGGATATATTCTATTATAATCAAAACGGCTGTGTTTACCGTTGTTTTGTTAATATCAATATTTGTATTTACAGGTATTTCAAAAAGTAGGAAGAAAGCCAGAAGAGGATTAAAATATAAACGACGTTCTCAAGGAACAAGTTTAATACGGGTCTGATCAGAAGAATTGAAATGTACAGTTGTAACGCCAACCAAAGCATTTTCTCTTGGATTGAAATGTTACATTCCTAAATGAAATGGCATTCATAATGACATAAATGTAAATAGATTCGTTTAGTTTGAACATGTCTTTTCAGTTTGCTCTATGCTAAGGTATATATATATATAAATAATTTATTGGTTTGCATCTCCTGCACACAGTTTTATGGAAAAGATATATTGTCAATTATAAGTACACAATAGGAAACAAAAATACACAAAATACTCTGCCGAGATTATCTAATAAATCACTTAACTTTCACATTATGTTTTGATGTGTATATTAGTTCACCATGTTTGGTAAGCAAACAAACTTCAACCGAACTTCATTATCTCGAAGTCTTTGGGACCGTGGTAGAACCTCGAGTTTTCCGAGTATTCGATTTAAGTGAGTTCGAATGTTTAGTGTGGAATTTGACCTGGACCAACAGAATACATGCACTTTGAATGAAACGAGTTTTAGAGTTAAATGAGTTCGAGATAACTGTTCTACTGTATGTGGTCATTTACAGTGACACTGCAGACATATGAGTAACATATTTCTGCTTCTGACAGAAAGAAATGTATCATAATCAGATTACTGTAAAATATTATATTACAAACCATATCTGCATGTAAAAGTACTGGTTTGTTTGTTAATTGAATGATATGGTATTGATTTACTTTAATGCTTCAAATTAACAACAGTTTCGATGATCGCACGTTTTTGTTTCTATTAGTGTGCTGTTACAGTAGTTTCTGTATATCAAAGCAGACACAAGTTTTGGATTCAAAATATACATTATTGAATGCACGTAACAGAATTGTAAATGAACTTGAATCTGCACAACTTGTCGTAAGCAGCTTCATAACAATGGCATATATCGAAGTGTGTGTGGGTAGGTGGAAGGGTGGGTTGGTGTGTGTGTTTTTCGTTTTATATATACGATTCTTTCATTAAGTTATGTACTCCAAAAGTGAATTCATACTATGGTAATCACTTAATTCATTTACTCATACGAAAATGTGAATTTAGAATTACCGTGAAGTGGCATTTCTTTTGAAAATTAATATAGTGCATGGTACAACATGAAAACGTCTGTAGCTTTATTAGTATTATTTTTTAACGCTTTCTGTTGTTTGAAATATGTAAATATGTTCTAAAGATTTGATATGCACTGAGGTTTTTTACCTGTATTAAAAAATATAGGATGAAAATATAGGTAAATAATATTCGCCCGTATTTATAAAAATCTTTGTGAATACAGATAATATCATCTTATTTCTTTTAAAATGTTCCATCTGTTTTATACAAAGCTATAAATAAAAAATGTAAACCCTTAATTTTATGTCTTCAATTTTCTTTTCCCACGATATCGATTAGACGTTAAAGGCAATTGACATAGGGATAAAAGGTTGTTACCTGCTGGTGTTCAGAGTAGGAGAGAGAGAGAGAGAGAGAGAGAGAGAGAGAGAGAGAGAGAGAGAGAGAGAGAGAGAGAGAGAGAGAGAGAGAGAGAGAGAGCCACAGAGTGACACTTTTGGAATAAGGGTGAGAGATAGTGAGTGGAAGAATGAGAAAGGGTGGCAGAGGAAGTCGAAAAAAAAAAAAAAAAAAAATCGGAGAGAGAGGGAAAGTGTGCGAGAGTGTCATGTTTTGATATTGCTCTGTTGCTTCACAAGAAGAGAATGAACTGTTTATATATTCTGCTTGTGACTGATAGTTTGATCCACCTGCTGGAAATGTTGTTGTAGTTCATTTCTAATTATATACATTTTGAAAAGAAGTTCTAGATTTGATATACACAAGGGAAACAATATATATTATAATGTGTTCATTACCATCATTATGATGTGAGAGTTCATTCTCCTTGGTTAAAAGCACGTTGAATTATGACCGATTATGAATATTGATTCATTACGATGGTCTTGTATTACATTTATTAAGATCAAGCAAACAGTTTTCATTTTAGTCAAACAGAGTGTGTAACACAAGACAACTCGTACGGATGAAGCGGTCTTTTTTACACGAACATACACGACACATTAGATAGCAAAGGGATTAAAAAGGTTCTCACAATACTATTTTTTTCATGTTCACTACATTGTATCTCATTGTGTTTCCAGATTTGGTAAAATATGCATATTCTAATTTCACAAATGTGTTCCTAGTCAGCAGAACACATATCGATTAACATTAAAATATTAGGTAAATACGAACGTGTTAACAACATCTTGGCAAAAACTCAAAATTTTACTCAAAAACTTAAAAAATATGCAAAAAGAATAAGACCACGTGTTCCGGAAGGATGTGTTCTCTGCCATAGTAATATTGGTCCATACAGACAAGACCATGGATGACAACAACGAAGCAATCAGGCATACTAAGTAGCATCGAATACATCCAACTTTACGTCACACAGGGTATTTCTATAACAATCTTAACATGCATTATTCTGTGATAATATAACAATATTTGATCATTTCCATAGAGATTAAACTCATTTGAAATGTCGACAGATGACAGTAATACATAAAAAAACCACCATCAGTGAAACATTCTTTAGTACTTGGTGAGATTTGGAACAATCGATTTGAATATAAATCTTATGTTGTGTGTATCCTCACCTGTGATTTATGTAACCGTCTAGCCTTGGCATCATTCTATTACTTACTCTCAGTCTATCTGAAGAACGATTACACTTACATGTATGTTCCAGTCTTAAAACATCGTGTATAGGATTTTTATGGAGTAAAAAAAACTAATCAGGACTTATGTGATAATAACCGGATATGCTTCATCTATTCTATTACCTGTTGCTTGTAGCTTTGGTCAAAGGGCCTACATGTAAGTATCATGTGAGTCTGGTCAGTATTCATAACAACAACTATTTCAGATACTTGCAAATCTTTCTAAGCGAATCTATGTCTCAAAAGACAAATCTGAAATGAATATGTAACTTGATGGAATACTTGCAAATCTTTTGTAATTGGCATTTTACGTTAAATGAGTTTAATATATTTATCAAAAGACCTGCCTTGCTAATATAATGGATTCCAGACAATGATACATTCTTTGTTGATTTGCAATGTCGTTTTCGATAAAAAATGACATGAACTATGATTCATTACAATATATCACAGGTTCGTGGAATATAACGTAATTGAACATGATATTGTTGCAAAAAAAAAAAAAAAAAAAAACTTACTCCGATGATCACATCATCAACAAACGTAACATATTCATCTTTTCTTGTTATATATTTATACATCGAAATTGTTCATCATTTACACAGGTCTAACTGCAAAGACGGTAAAGCAGTGTTGTACAGGGAAAAGCCCAACCAATCCCTGTGAATTTCTCGAATTATCCTGTCCATCGGAACATGTCATATACAAACCGGATGTCTATCCAACCAGCACAACTTGTAAGAATCGACATCTCTGTGATGGGCTGGTCACGCTGTATCCAAAGTTACGCATCGATATCTATAATTGCTACTGGAAAAACAAATGTCTTATTGATTTATCGTCCGTTGATAAGTCATCACCTTTGGCAGAATTAGGAACGGATTGTCCGTCGGCGGAGTGGCTGAACGTTGTGGTTAAGGAGTGGAAATGCGTCAGCAAAAATGGTAGGTTATTAAACATTTCTTTCACTATCTAAACGCTAATTAAATTGCATTGGTAAAAGTATCAAAATGGAAAAAAAGTTGTATTGTTTTATTCATTGATTTTACTGATTTTCCTGTTATTTTTCAATTCATTTTGAACATTTTGTCAACGTTAATATCTATGATGCTATTAAAATAATAATAATAATAATAATAATAATAATATATATATATATATATATATATATGTTTCATCGACGACACGCGTCATGTGAACATATTTATAATCCAAACTCAAATTCAATAAAAGTACGAAAAAATGTTATCACAAGAACTCTTTACGCGGAGAATACTGAAAGAGTACAAGGAGAATAGGACCAGGTGTTCCGGAACAGTAAGCGCCTTCTGCTTCATCGACGACACGCGTCATGTGTACCTTGTCCGATCCAATTAAGTAATAACACGCTCTTAAGTGAGAACAAGGTAATCAACAGATAGAACTTTTCTTAAGGTGATCCCTATGACGACAGTAAAACTTTACCATAATTTTCACCAACTTGCATATTTTGAACCCTGTGTTACATGTATGAGTTTGTCCATCAATTGATGAGATATAATTAGATATTATGAAAATATGATTGTGTCTTTTGTAGTTATTTCAGATATATGTGCTGGAAACAAGAAGCAACAAATCGACATATTGAAACTCTCTGACAAACCATCAGGAATAATAAGAAGTCACGAGGGTTTCCCTTGGAATTATGGGAAGGACATCTTTCACATCGAGAACTCTCTATACACGCCAATGTGTACTGTAACATTCAACGGAAATATGGAGTCACATACAGATTTCAGCCGCATCGCTGTCTTCGTCGACAGTTTAGATATTGGCGATGACTTTAACACAGCATACATTCAAAATGAGGAATTGCAGGCAAAGACTTATGTTTATGATTTTAAAACCCCATATGTCAATATATCGTTTGGATTCACTAAAACAAACTACAATATAAAAGGTGGCAAAGGCTTTGTCCTGTTCTATAAATGTGAGTTTACTTTGGGAATATAGATTTTTCTAACTTTTGTCTGTTTCCCCTTTGTTAAAATCGGAGATTTGGTTTTAAAAAAACATCATTTGCAAATAAACAAATGTGATAAGACAATAAAAATCATCTGCAAAATCTCTTTTCTCGTCAACACAAATCAGATGAATTAAAGATAGAAAACCTTATGAAATACCAGTCACATGATTACATGCACATTGGAAAGACGGCATAATCAATATCATAGATACCTAAAGCATTTCTCCTGAATGTTTTACATTTAAAATGTAAAGGAATTGTCAATTACTCTACTTCAAAATCGAAACAGACCATGGACAACACACAAAATCGTATATTTTTTGTGTCGCTTACACATCTAGTAATATATTCAAACATTTCATCAACTGCAATTACCAATTGGTTGATTACTCAATGTTCAGTCTTTTTTTAAACTTGGTATGAAAAAACATCAACATGTCTTGTGATTAATGACAATGTATTTACTTATTGCCTATCTATCTTTATATCACAGTTCTTCGAGTCGACGAAGCTGTTTCATCAATAAAAGACTTCCAAGATATCATCGAAACCAAACAAGGGACGTATGCTACATGTGTTCACAGTAAGTACGTACAGTAGAAATATGTTACAGAATTACCACACTTGATTTAGAACGGACATATTTGTTCATAATTAATCAAACATAATGTTGTTGACTGAATCTTTAGGTGTGTGAAATGATTATAACCGATGTAGAGTAAGTTACCTTGCATTAAGGTAAAATTTATATTGTTAGTATGTTAATTATTGACTGTTTTCTGAATAACTTTTCGTCGTTCACCTTGAACTATGACCTTTATGAAATACCTGCAATCCATGGTCGATTTCATTCAAACAGTGACACGGTACAGAATCTATACATGTACTTGACGTTCTTCTAAAATCATCATACATTTGAAAATGACTAAATGTATTGAAGTATGGGCCTAGTGCACCTTCCTAACTAGATTTGTTTTCGACATCTTTGGACTTTAATCAGTCTTCTAATAGGTTACATAATTTAAGCCCTTTACATCACTAACGAGTCATAAAAGGATGAAACAGCTGCATGATGTAGCATCACTAACGAGTCATAAAAGGATGAAACAGCTGCATGATGTAGCATCACTAACGAGTCATAAAAGGATGAAACAGCTGTATGATGTAGCATCACTAACGAGTCATAAAAGGATGAAACAGCTGTATGATGTAGCATCACTAACGAGTCATAAAAGGATGAAACAGCTGTATGATGTAGCATCACTGACGAGTCATAAAAGGACGAAACAGCTGTATGATGTAGCATCACTGACGAGTCATAAAAGGACGAAACAGCTGTATGATGTAGCATCACTGACGAGTCATAAAAGGATGAAACAGCTGTATGATGTAGCATCACTAACGAGTCATAAAAGGATGAAACAGCTGTATGATGTAGCATCACTAACGAGTCATAAAAGGATGAAACAGCTGTATGATGTAGCATCACTAACGAGTCATAAAAGGACGAAACAGCTGTATGATGTAGCATCACTAACGAGTCATAAAAGGACGAAACAGCTGTATGATGTAGCATCACTAACGAGTCATAAAAGGACGAAACAGCTGTATGATGTAGCATCACTAACGAGTCATAAAAGGATGAAACAGCTGTATGATGTAGCATCACTAACGAGTCATAAAAGGACGAAACAGCTGTATGATGTAGCATCACTAACGAGTCATAAAAGGATGAAACAGCTGTATGATGTAGCATCACTAACGAGTCATAAAAGGACGAAACAGCTGTATGATGTAGCATCACTGACGAGTCATAAAAGGACGAAACAGCTGTATGATGTAGCATCACTGACGAGTCATAAAAGGACGAAACAGCTGTATGATGTAGCATCACTAACGAGTCATAAAAGGATGAAACAGCTGTATGATGTAGCATCACTAACGAGTCATAAAAGGATGAAACAGCTGTATGATGTAGCATCACTAACGAGTCATAAAAGGACGAAACAGCTGTATGATGTAGCATCACTAACGAGTCATAAAAGGACGAAACAGCTGTATGATGTAGCATCACTAACGAGTCATAAAAGGACGAAACAGCTGTATGATGTAGCATCACTAACGAGTCATAAAAGGACGAAACAGCTGTATGATGTAGCATCACTAACGAGTCATAAAAGGACGAAACAGCTGTATGATGTAGCATCACTAACGAGTCATAAAAGGACGAAACAGCTGTATGATGTAGCATCACTAACGAGTCATAAAAGGACGAAACAGCTGTATGATGTAGCATCACTAACGAGTCATAAAAGGACGAAACAGCTGTATGATGTAGCATCACTAACGAGTCATAAAAGGACGAAACAGCTGTATGATGTAGCATCACTAACGAGTCATAAAAGGACGAAACAGCTGTATGATGTAGCATCACTAACGAGTCATAAAAGGACGAAACAGCTGTATGATGTAGCATCACTAACGAGTCATAAAAGGACGAAACAGCTGTATGATGTAGCATCACTGACGAGTCATAAAAGGACGAAACAGCTGTATGATGTAGCATCACTGACAAGTCCTAAAAGGACGAAACAGCTGTATGATGTAATATCACTGACAAGTCCTAGAAGGAAGGAACAGTTGTATGGTGTAGCATCACTGACGAGTCCTAGAAGGAAACAGCTGTATGATGTAGCATCAGACTAGAAGGATGAAACAGCTGTATGATGTAGCATCACTAACGAGTCATAAAAGGACGAAACAGCTGTATGATGTAGCATCACTGACGAGTCATAAAAGGACGAAACAGCTGTATGATGTAGCATCACTGACGAGTCCTAGAAGGACGAAACAGCTGTATGATGTAGCATCACTGACGAGTCCTAGAAGGACGAAACAGCTGTATGATGTAGCATCACTGACGAGTCCTAGAAGGACGAAACAGCTGTATGATGTAGCATCACTGACGAGTCCTAGAAGGATGAAACAGCTGTATGATGTAGCATCACTGACGAGTCATAAAAGGATGAAACAGCTGTATGATGTAGCATCACTGACGAGTCATAAAAGGATGAAACAGCTGTATGATGTAGCATCACTGACGAGTCATAAAAGGATGAAACAGCTGTATGATGTAGCATCACTAACGAGTCATAAAAGGACGAAACAGCTGTATGATGTAGCATCACTGACGAGTCCTAGAAGGACGAAACAGCTGTATGATGTAGCATCACTGACGAGTCCTAGAAGGACGAAACAGCTGTATGATGTAGCATCACTAATGAGTCCTAGAAGGACGAAACAGCGGTATGATGTAGCATCACTGACGAGTCCTAGAAGGACGAAACAGCTGTATGATGTATCATCACTGACGAGTCCTAGAAGGACGAAACAGCTGTATGATGTATCATCACTGACGAGTCCTAGAAGGACGAAACAGCTGTATGATGCAGTTAACTTCATTATTTGGCTCTGGTGTATCTTATTGTAAACTTGTATTAAAAGATGTTATATAAAAGTGCCTGTTTCGTAAAAGTTTTCATTGTAAAAGATAAGAAAAATTGACATAGATTAAGAAGTCTCACTCGTTTTCATTTTAGAGTGACACACCGACAGAAATACTGATATGTGTTATAAACATATGAAATATAATAGTAATATGAGACTCTTTCTACATGTACGGAACATGATGGAATGGAAATCGAAGTCTATTATCACAATGTATCGTTCCTTAATCGGTCAAAGAGCGCATGTCAAAAATATCTGTCAACAATTAACTGAAAATGTCATGTACACTAAGTGTCGTTTACTTTGTCGTCATCCAGGGCACAAATACTTCTGTCCGTATCGTAAAGCGTGCGAGAAGAATGCACGATTGTTCGTGCCTGTGAACGATCCTGACGACTTTTGCTCATACAAGTCAGTTAAGAAATTAAGGGAACCCAAAAGCTGTTCGAAAGGTTAGTCAAACATATCTTTTCCATAATGGTGAATATGTTCTATTCTTGCATTGTATATGCACTACATATTTATAAGCATTAATATCATCTTTTCTTATGAGGATTTGTAAAACGTCATATGTGCCCTTGAACTTTTCATGTTTTATCCGTTTCTGTCTATATTGTTGCCCTATCAGCGTTTATTATTTTTTGTTTTTATTTTTTTAAATTTTTTTTTCATCTTCTTTCAATATAATTAATGCTTAGCGGTGCAATATTGCAAACGTGTACATGTTTTTCCAGAGAAATACAACGCATGTAAATTACGTAAAACAGCTCTGAAGGGGAGAAAATGGTCAATGGTTATCAGCGGGAACTTCACCGAGAAGTTCTTCACATGTAAATGGATGTTTAAGGTACCTATTCGTAGAAGGCTAACATTTCTCATGAGCCAATATTTCTTGAATATCGAGTAAAAGATTTTAAAATGATAATAGAAATCATCATGTCATACTATTGACGACATCAAATGTTTTATACATAATGAAAAAATGTACATATACATGTATGATGTGAAACATGGAGGATACACGTGATGTTTGGCTTACATCATTTGATTGTAAGGAGATAACTCAGTTCTGACAGTTGTCTGCAATTTTTGCAGCACGAAAGTCAATGGCAGATATCTGCATTGTTTGTGACCTTGATTACATCAGTTTGTTTTATGATTACAGATATGAATAATTACTTGTATATTACAAAATTTAGAGTAATTATTTGACTGAAGTAACGTTTGGCATGCAATTTCAACTTTATATTTTCAATTTATTTGCTTTTGATTGTAGCCTAAAGGACGAACAACATGGGCTATTACGTTTGAAAAAAACACTTTCGACAGGAGGTTTGATAACTTAACTGTAAGACATTCCCATTGTGAAACCTCTAATGTCACAACACTAATGCCCCAAAAAACGCCCTACGCAATAAAAAAGAGAGATATTGTCACAGTGGAATATTCAAGGACGATAACAACGGATTCAGATACCTGGTTGCCACCTATCACTGAGTTTAAAATGACTTTTAAACGTAAGTCTAAATAGATATCAGTTGTTAAATAATGTAAACAATACATGTACAACGATTGGGAAACATGCTGTTTTAATGTATATAAATCACGCTTGTTGACCTGTATATGGGCATAATAAATTTTAATTACCGTGGGAGGAATTAACATTTCTGATTGGATAATTTTCAAGATCGAATCACAGTTATACTTATGAATAGCTAATGCGTTGTCATGACAATCAATCTGACGTAAGCAAAAACATGACAGTTATCGTACATATTCAGGCATATAATCGCCGTTGTAAATGGAGAAATTTGAGATAATGGCAGAATCTGACGTGGAATGGCACAGCGGAGAGAACAATTGTAGGGTTCCGATACAGATATCTCCTCTTTTACCTAGGCTTTGTCGGTAATCCACACCACCATTACATTATTGCGATATACTAACTTGAAGTCAGCTGTCATATGTCTTCTGTTTTTACCAGAATATTTTATGAAGCACATTGCTTATATCACAAAGCAGATTAAAAGGATGCAATTGTTTAAAGCTATACCGAATTTCAAAAACGTTAGATGGACATTTTAAACGAGATCCACATTAGTTATTATTTTACATTTTAATTTCAAGACATTCTCATTGGCATCAATAAAGAATGTTTTATAGCACATTGTGTGATACAATTAAACCCAGCACTCTTGTTAAAGTTTTTTTTTAACTTTTATGTTTTTATTTTTCAGGGACACGGAAAAGAAACTGAAGTACGGCATAGTATCCTGTCTGCAATATCCGCGTGATGTCTTCTTTAAAATCAGGATTTAAAATTTTTTTTTTTTTTGCTTTTAGTTTTTTTTCAAATATATATCTTAATTTGTATTGTTTATGTTTTTCACTAGATCTTGTAACATATAATATTGCTATTTCAGATTATGGCGAATAGGGTAATTATTGAATCCATTACAAATCCCATTACACGATACACCCCTGTGATATCCAAATACATAGTTTTCTCGTGAATGCGACTAGAAGAACTTGAAGATTTAAGTCATAGACCCCAATGTCTAATAGACGATTCACCTGTACCCCGATCGAACAGTTGATAAGATATAAGTAGGAAGAAAAAACGGACCGATTGAAATACGTATAATTGCATTTCATATGTCTGATCCACATGAAATTCAAACAAATGATTAAACTCAACATGGCCGTCAAAAGATGACAGTTTATTACATTTATTACAAAACACATAAATCATAAATCTTCTACAAAAAGAATACCACTCCCGTGATTTACACAATAAACACCAAAAATAATAACTTATAAAAAGATGTTTACGAATCAAGATGTTTTTGTTTCAGTCCTAAGTGGAAGTAAGACAGAATTGCAGTTTGAAAAGTGGTATGGAGGATAGATATCTCCAACTGAATCATGGCGCAATTATGGTGAAGAGCCGACATACCGTTTTACATAATTATGGTGAAGAGTTGACATACCGTTTTACACAATTATGGTGAAGAGTCGACATACCGTTTTACACAATTATGGTGAAGAGCCGACATACCACTTTACACAATTATGGCGAAGAGTCGACATACCGTTTTACACAATTATGGCGAAGAGTCCACATACCGTTTTACACAATTATGGCGAAGAGTCGACATACCGTTTTACACAATTATGGCGAAGAGCCGACATACCGTTTTACACAATTATGGCGAAGAGCCGACATACCGTTTTACACAATTATGGCGAAGAGTCCACATACCGTTTTACACAGTTATGGCGAAGAGTCCACATACCGTTTTACACAATTATGCCGAAGAGTCCACTTATCGTTTTACACAATTATGGCGAAGAGTCCACATACCGTTTTACATAATTATGGCGAAGAGCCGACATACCGTTTTACATAATCATGGCGAAGAGCCGACATACCGTTTTACATTATTATGGCGAAGAGTCGACATACCGTTTTACACAATTATGGCGAAGAGTCGACATACCGTTTTACATAATTATGGCGAAGAGTCGACATACCGTTTTACATAATCATGGTGAAGAGTCGACATACCGTTTTACATAATTATTCGACATACCGTTTTACATAATCATTGTGAAGAGTCGACATAACGTTTTACATAATCATGGTGAAGGGTCGACATACCGTTTTACATAATCATGGCGAAGAGCCGACATACCGTTTTACATTATTATTTACATACCGTTTTACACAATTATGGCGAAGAGTCGACATACCGTTTTACATAATTATGGCGAAGAGTCGACATACCGTTTTACATAATCATTGTGAAGAGTCGACATAACGTTTTACATAATCATGGTGAAGAGTCGACATACCGTTTTACACAATTATGGCGAAGAGCCGACATACCGTTTTACATAATTATGGCGAAGAGTCGACATACCGTTTTACATAATTATGGTGAAGAGTCGACATACCGTTTTACATAATTATGGCGAAGAGTCGACATACCACTTTACACAATTATGGTGAAGAGTCGACATACCGTTTTACATAATTATGGTGAAGAGTCGACATACCGTTTTACATAATTATGGCGAAGAGTCGACATACCGTTTTACATAATCATTGTGAAGAGTCGACATAACGTTTTACATAATCATGGTGAAGGGTCGACATACCGTTTTACACAATTATGGTGAAGAGTCGACATACCGTTTTACATAATCATGGTGAAGAGTCGACATACCGTTTTACATAATTATCTCTTCCTCAAGGCGATGGATAAAAGTGCATTTATATTAGATATATATAAATACTCACATTGTAAACAACATCAAAATCACAAAGGAGAAACCATACACATATCAGAAAGTCTGTCATTAGATTTCCGGTTTCCAACATAAATCCATGGGAAAGTTCATTGTTCATCAATTCATTAAATGCTGTTCAGTTTTCTCATCTTTAGGCCCAATGTGTCATCCTTATAGCTGACCGTTTCCTCACAAAGAACATCATCCTGTTTCCGTTTGATTCCTCTCGATTAGTCCATTTTGCTTGTGTCCAGTGATAGGCGACCTAATTCATAGGCCAGTAAGTTAATATTATAGACCCATCCTGAAAATGAAATACAATATACCAAAATCCATTATATAAAACATTTAATAGAAAATCAAATAATTCGAAGCAACTATGTCGATATTTTCCTAGTCCAAGCTGTTTTTAAATAGATTTTTTATGGCGCTGGGTTACAAAGACATGGAATATAACGTTAAGTTCATGTCTGATTTCACATTTGGACTTGTTAATTAATTAAGAGATTTGTTGTTAATCTGTCTGCAATGCGTTCTCTGTAATTTGTTCTATCAAAACTGACCCTAAATGTAAGAAAATAAAAATATTGTTTAAGTCAGACCAGAAGTCAATAAAGAATTAACAACCTACCGTGGTAGGGAAAGCCAACTGTGACGTCACTTCACTATCTAGGTTTGGTGAGGGTTTTCTTTCCCCATTTTTGCTGTAGAGTATATTTACAGATATGATTCAATTTATCAATACACATCAATGTATTAGTTGTTCTTTACAAAATATATCCGCATTTTTGTAATAGTTACATATGCATAAAAATCTTTAACAAAAATTGGAATCATTTCAGTGAAATCATAGCATTGATTTATATGTTAAATATTCCAAGTAAGGTGTTCTCATCATGTCATACATGTTTTTTCTTTCCGTTGTAAGATATCGTAAATTTTTCCTTGTTTCTGTCCGAGATTAAACAATAAAACGTAAAAGCATAAGTACCACCACCGCTTACTGAATGGATTTGTATGAACTCTCATTAAGTATTACCGTTTTCTTCTTGTTTTCTTACGAGGTTTTTTTGGGTCAGACGAAACGGGCCTATACGTCCCCTGTAATGTACATTTTTAGGTAAACCGAGGTGAATTATAGGTGGGAAAGAGGAAATAAGAATGAAAGATTGAAGTAGATACCGACACAAAATAGGCTGGAAATAATGACAAACAAAATACAACCTCGAATAAACTATTACTAGGACAAAGTGGTCAACTATCTTCAACTAGAACTATAGAAACAGTGTCACAATTTAAACGTCACATTTCAAGACAAATCAAACCTGTGATTAATCTGACTGTATGTAACAGAAAATTAGATGTGATACATGCTAGAATTCGTCACGGTTGTAGTGCTTTGAATGCAGATCTTTTCAGATGTAATTTAGTATTATCTCCAGCATGTAACTGTACCTACCCTTTAGAAAATCATTTTCATTATTTCTTTCAATGTAACACGTACAACCTCACTCGTGATATACTTTTAAGAAAACTATCTATAGATGACATAATCGTTGATCTAGATGCCCTGTTGAAAGGTTCTGTTCATCTGAACCAAGCCGAAAATGATAATATTCGACTGACCGTTCAAGAATTTATTGAAAATACAAATAGATTCGCATAAAGTTATACAAAGTGTATATTTGGTATTCATACTATATATCTTACTAGTAATATTATAAAGCTGCTGATATTGGGAATTTTCCCATCAGTATACAGTAATGTTTATTTTATGTATAAATCCATGATTCAATGTTTGATGAAATGCTGCCATATCTGTATGTAATCTTGTATAATTGTTTATGGAAGAGGACGTTCCTAAGTTGTTTAACTTGTGTCCAATTCCATTTGATTTTTGGTCAAATAAAAGATGTTTAAACTAAACTATCATCTTAGTGTGTGACGCAAAAACGTCTGTTGAACGTTATATGAATACCTGAATGTGTACATCAAAAACGATTTTTGGGCTACATTTAAGACACAAAAACTGAAGTCTGTCGACTACCCACCTGGACATACTATTAACTGTATGAAACATTTGTAGACTGTAAAATTATTGCTACAGCATAACGAAAAGTATCGTCTCATGAAGATCAGAGATATTTTAATGGTTATCAACTTACCTGAGGGGTGAGTGTTAAGTCATGGAATAGTGACGTCACTTGGTCATCTTGACCATGGGTGTTTGATGCTGTCCTTGTCTAATGTTTGTTGTGAAGAACAGGTGAGATAAAGGATCAGTTATACACACCAGTGTTAGGAGGATACATTGAAGTGATTATATCTTTATTCTGCACGAAATGATTAAATCCTTTTAAGAAATTATTTATTTTATCAATTCATGTTGATTTTTTTTAGCAAACCGCTTTTCTTTTTTTTCCTATCTAACAATCATTCCAACGACTTCAAGTCATTAATAAAATATTGGATACATAATTATTTTTCCTCAGCAAGTCATTTTATTCAATTAGTTGTATATATATTTTTGTGATGGGTCTTGTATTTTACTTACCTATATCTGAGATGTTTATAAACGACATCAAAGGTAAATATAATGAGAAAATATATGTCGCCCCACTTAATTGTGGTGATATAAGTATTCTCTTTACGTTTTAACCTTAAACGTTCATCAGTCATTAATAATTAATTGATTTCTATAAGAACTCGTTAAACATTTACCGTTTTCTACTTCTTTTTCTACGGGATTCTGTTGGTCTGTCATAACGGACAAGTTGTCCCTCTGTGGCGTTGGGAAACAAACACAAATGTGGATAGAAAGAAGAAAGGAGGAAATAAGAATGGTAGAATGAAGGATAGATATAGATAATCGGAAAGAGAAAGTAAAAACGTGATTGAAAAGGAAATAAATCATTAGTAAATGGAAACGCATGTATCAATTAAAGCATGTATAATATCCCCAGCGTGTTTCTATATTTACCGTGGCTACAGGACCAAGGGGTTCTGAAGTGTCCTCAGCATGTCCGTTATGATCGCTGTACGATACACGCTTGTTCTCCTTTCGGAACATTTCTCCATCGATCTGTGAGTAAGGATACAGTACAAGAAACTTTTCAAAAGACGAAAAACACTCATATATGAAATGGTCTACCTATTAGTGCAAATTAAGAATCACGTGATCTTATCACTGCGTATTTTCTTTCCTTTTTATTCTCTGAAATAAGAAGCATGCCCCATTTACCAAAACAGAAATAACGAGAATGAATTTTAATAAGACAGTAATGGCCTTGTCTTACCGTCTCTTTTTTCCGCTGTGTGATGATTCCTCGTGATCGTACGAATTGTACGTGTACGTCTTCTGTGACGTAGAAGATAAAGTGATGGAGCGAAAGAAGGAGAACAGGAAGGAAAGAAGAAA